TAGTTCAAAATAAGAAAAATAGTAAATGAAATAGATGAGTTGCAATGACTACAAAGTTAAGGTAGCTGTGACCCTCTGTTCTACCTTATCTGTAATATACCATTCTTCTCACTGTTTTCTAGAAGGAACTTTCACTCCACCCTTTCCGTGCGTTTTGTGCTTCGTATGTTTCTTTGGAGAGAAGGGTTTACTTTTCAAAAGTTCTTCCTTCTTAAGCTCCCAAGCTTCATCCTTCTCATCCAGTTGGATTCCCTTTGATTTTGCCGTCTGGCAATATGCCCTGTATTCCATTTCAGCTCTAGATCAAAAGGAAAGAGGAAACGGTTTTGGATAACCTGCTATCAATGGCGGATCACGACTTGAAAGGGAGCATTTCCATTTGGAAAGCTGGGGGATATTGCATCCACGTTGACCTCAGTTCTAAAACTAATTAAAAGCAAAACAGCTTTGGCTTTGCTTTCTCAAAGTCTAGAGCAGTGGTGGCTAACCTTTTTGGTCTCCTGTGCCAAAAACTGTGTGTGCGCTGGTGCTCGCATGCAAGCACCCAGAAGGCAATGCGTGCCCCTTCATGCCCCCTGCGCATGCACGTGAAATTCCAGGAAGTGACGAAACAGGCCTATTTGGCCTGCAGAGGCTTTTTTCAAGCCCCCTGGAAGGCTGAAAAAGGCCTCAAACCAGCAGAAAATCAGCTGTGAAGCACGTACACGTGCAGTGAGGTACCTTTGTCTGTGGCTCGTGTGCCGACACAAATGGCTGTGTGTGCCACCTGTGGCACGCATGCCATAGGTTTGCCATCATGGGCCTACAGGATATTAATGCAACAAAATATGGGGAAATTCCTTAAATACATATAGATGCTTTAGTATGACTGCAGTTCAGCTTTACAGAGAAAAATTGTTTTAACACCAATGAAGGCAACTTCACCAAATGCTTATTTAGGCAAAGAGAAAGCAGGAGGCAAGTCACTCTTATAAAGATTTGCTAGTACGATTACTATCCTCAATCCAACTGGATTATATTTTACTTCCTTGAACAGAGTTGTGGATTTTACAGCTGTGCAGAGTTCCTTGTAGAACAGAGTATGTGGAGAGGATGCATCAAACAGGAAGGTGTCAAACATGAGGAAGAGGGGGCTTGGTGGGTGGGAAGAAAATGACATAAAAAGGCATAAAAGTACTCCTCCACTTCCAACCATTCGGTTAATGACTGTTCCGAGTTACCATGGCACTGAGAAAATTTTCCCCTGGACTGTAGTAAGCCCCTTTGCTCGATCACAAATTAGCATTAAGAATAGTACAAGGTCACCTGCCTTAATTCTTTTTCATGCTTACATTTCTAAGAATTTGACGCAGGCTTTGTGCCCATAGATTTCTGCAATTCTTCTTGGGACATCTCCATAGAGATCCGGGGCGTCCATCGGTGCGTTCAAGGAGTGCAGTGTTCTCAACACGCCCAGTTGCCCTGATTCTGCAGCAAAATGAACTGGAGTCCAACCTGCCTCCGTTCGCAAAACCAGGCGAGCACCGTGTTCCACAAGCAGCTTTACTATCTTTGTGTGGCCTGTTGCAAATACAAACATTGCATTTTTCACATTGGCTGAAATTTTTCTGAATTATCTGGGTGGATATCAGGTACTCCATTTTTAAAAAAATGTCTATTCATACAAATACATGGTATAAAGTTACATGTCACTTTGCATTACCTTGCAACCACAACATATTGGAGATTCATGATTCACATGGTCTAATTTATTTATATACTTATCTGAATAGTACACAAAGTTAAATGAACACAGGGCAACCATTATGAAGACCATTAAAAACATTAAAAAGTAATCTGCAGGGAAACACACTCTGTTCCCTAGTAATTTTGTTGTTGTTGTTAGTTGCAGAGTCGTTTCTAATAATAAAGCTTTGTATTTGCGCAATGCTGGAAAAATGAAGAAACACCGTGAGATGAAGAAATAATTAAAATATTAGAGTGTGCAGAAATGGATAGACTGACATTAAAAATGAAACAGAAAGAAGATACATAATATTATCAAACATGGGAACTATTTTATCAGTGGTTGGAAAAAAGGAGGGGAGGCAAAGGCAAAAAAATACTGGACAAAAATACACACTTGAATAGAAAAAATGATAAAAGAACACATAGACTTAAAACTGGAAATATTTCTGTTGGGTATACCAGAAAAAGATAATAAAGGGATTATTATCAATATTATGATGAGACATCATTGTTACTATATGATTGGTAGTGTTATGGATGCTATTGTTATTATGAGGATGATTATTGTTCAAAATAACTATACCCAGACAACACTCTTTATATAGACATTGAAATTTTTGTTCTTTTTATATTTAGTAAAAATAATAATAATTTAAAAAAGGAAAAAAGGGTGGAGATTAAGAATGTAATATGTATTGTTAAGCAAATTAAATACCTAGACAACACAATGTTTATTAAGCACTAAGAAATGTAACTAATAAAAATTGATCAAAATAAATAAAAACATTACAAAATAATCTGCAGGAAAACACACCTGTTTCTATATGTAGAAAGTTGGCACCCTCCTGGAAGAATGAAATATCCTACGAAATATTAAAAAGGCAGAATATTATACCTTCCTGGATGAGAAAAGGAGATACATACTCTTGGAAAGCAACCCCCACCTTTGTTAATAGCCCCAGAAAGACTGGGCCATCTATCTACAAGACAAAAAGCTGGGCCAGCTTATCTGCAACACAAAAGACTTTCACCCTCAGGACATAATAGGATTAGCCCTCTCACCACATGGCACCTGGGAAGATTGCATCATCCAGCAAGATTCAACCAGGCCTGGGACTCAAGACAACCTTCAAAGTTACCCCTGCATGGTCCCATGGGAGTTTGACAACCAGAATGCATTTCTTTCACAAGAGAAAGAGAGGGTATAGGTATATATCTCTCTCCTCTTGCGGCCCAGAATCACACTATTGGTTCTGCTTCACTATTAAACCATCCTTCCAAGCAATCTCCATGTTTCCAGTGTCTTTTTCCCACTTGGAACTGAACTCAGACGGCCATTTCTTCCAACACCTATTAATACAGCTTCTTTGAAGGAACTACATCCACATCCCAGGATCTGGGGAGGGGGGGGGTTGTCCTTCCAGAGAGCTGACATATTCCCTCTTTTGAAATCTTTATACTTATTGGTTTCATGAAAACACAATGGAGGTATTATTTACTAATAAATATCCAAGTTATTTGTGATGAATATTTTCTTCTTGTGAATTTAAATAGGTGTGTAAAATAGGTAAATTCTTAGCAGGGGAATGGAAGGAGATAGCATAGTGACATTTCCTACTGGCTACCTTCCTTCCCCCAAAATCTGTATTTTTAATATCTGGCTAACGCTTTGGAGCACATCCAGCCACTTCTTCCATGCATGTTCTGCTGCAAACCATGTCCTCTCAAACCCAAATATAGGATGCACTTCTCGCTGCCGTGGGAGGGCACTTCTAAGGCACCTCATTTGAATCCAGGGAAAACTCATAAAAGATCAGTGGTGAAAATGGATGTGAAAAGATAGCTCCCGCTCTCATTCTTCGGCCTCGTGCAACGTTGGATTGCACGTGCAATCGCTCCCGTCAAATCAGTTTCTTTACTGATGCAGAGCAAAGAGGAAAACTCCTGACCGTCTCGACCTGTTTTTGTCGAACTTTTACCCCGCTTTTGATTACTGTTACACCGGGGAAATATCTATGTTTGCTCACCGATCGGAGCGGCTTGCGTGCTTGCTCCGATCAGGACGCGGAGAAGGGCCGGGGATATATGCCAGCTAACTTGCCTCCACGGACACTCACATTACGCCCGTCCCCCAGTGTCCTCCTGGCGCATGCGCGTCCCCCCAAGCGACGGCTTACCGTTTGCTGCCGCCCAGTGGAGGGGCGTCCGGTCGCTCCAGTCCGCATCTTTGCAATTTGGGTCCGCGAGCTCCCTCTGGAGGATTTCTTCCACTAAGTCGTAGTTACCCAAAGCCACCGCTTCGTGCAGCTCCGTCATGCTGCCTTTGGCCAAGCTCTTGACTTGAGCCCGCAGCTAAGGCTTCAGGCAAAAGCTCTCAGACCCGGTTTCTGTCTTCAAGAGAGCCGTGTCAGATACGCGAAGAGATCGTTCCTTTCTGCTGCCGCCGCCGCCATGCGCCCCAATCACTCCAAGGGCTGCTAAGGGCAACATAAACAAAAGAGTTCCCATTCCCCTCCCCGCCCTTCCTGCGATTAGGACCGAGCGGCCTCCCGCCTGCTGCTGCTTGTTTCGTAGAGAACCGGGCTCCTCCTGCTGGGAAGCCTGCGAGATGCCCCCGGCAGCCCTCC